TACAATTTATATGAATTTTTCTTTTAGTCTTGGGACATTTACTCTAAGTATATTATATGATAATCCACTGGAGCACATAAAAACATAGGTTGTACATCAGAAAATAAGCCTAAGATGGACAGAAACCGCAGACTTGAGTTCTACGGTGGGAAACTAACTAAACTACGACACACAGAGAAGTTTTCCAGCAGGTATTGACTTCTAATCTACCTTCCCAGAACTCTGATTTCTTACCCGATAGTCGTGCTCGGCCTCCTCCAGGAGAACAGTGTGGTGACCACGGTGCTTCTGAGAACGCTCACAAAGCCAGCAAATGACATTCTCATCCTCCTTACAAAAGAGCACGAGTTTCTCCCCATGGAGCTCACAGAGATCTGCTGTCAGGGTCAGAGTCATCTCCTCGAGGCTCTCCACTATGTTGGCCATATGGCGATTGGGCCTCAGGTTTTCAAACTGGTACGTGGTTCGGCACATGGGGCAGTGGCCCACTCCTTCTTCATGTTGCATGGACTCATAGTTTCTGGTGATGCAGAATTTACAAAAAACATGGCCACAGTCTGCGCTTACAGGATCCTGCATGAACTCCAGGCAGATGGGGCAGGTCACCTCCTCCTTGACATTCTCCAAGACTGATGAAGCCATAGAAGCTGCTTCTCTTCGCCTGTCTGTTCAGACTCTGAGATTTCTCCTGCTCTGGATCCTTAAGTTGAGATAGTCAAAGTGGGACAGGGTCAAAAAGTAAGAATACAGCAGGGGAGGGGAGAAAAAAAAAGAATACAAAGAATGAATAATGACCAGAAAAACATCATGTAGACATCAAGATCAAACTATTTAAAATTTAAAGAAAAAGAAAAAGGAGTGAAATATACAAAGGAGTTGACTCATTTCCTGCTCCGTATGTCATAATTATTTCATCAACTTTATCCTCAGTTCATATCATCTATAAAATTTATATAGGGAATGACTTTTATTTTCCCTTCCTTTATTGGACACACACTGAAATGGAATCCTCTTCTGACAGAATCCTTGCATAGTCCTTACTTTTGTTTCTCCCATGAAAATCACATGGTCAGTGTTAAAACCACTAAACCCCTTATACTGCAAGACGCTACCTTTGCTGTCAATATGCCCCCGTTCTTATACTTCCTGTGCAAGTTATGATTTCAGACAGCTGCTCTAACTTCCTCATCTGCACAATTTCACGGCTGATTATTCATCTTCAGTTAGTTCTTCTTAACAATAAGACATAAAAACTTAGATGCATGAATGGAATATGCTAAAAGAAACCCAAAGGCAGTATGGCCTTACCTTTGTTCACCACCCTGACTCTTTCTGTGATTCTGATTGCAAACTGAGTTGGATAAGGACAGAATTAAATTGCATGGTTGGCTTCAGTGTGGTTCTTACGGGAAATCTGCATAGCTTCCTGTCCAGTTCAGTTTGCAGCCTGAATCACAGGGAGAACTGAGTTTGTGAATCAAGGCACAACTGTATACTTTCATGACTTTCAGCTGGAATTAACCCATTGAATTGTCCTTCAGAACTCTCTTCTCTATGCCACAGAATAAAACAAGAGGTAATTCTAGAATTAGAACAACACTCCAAGCAGTGTGGTTGTACAAGCAAGCTTCTGCATACTAGATGGCTCTGGAGAATCACGATTGTAAATGCTAGCATTTTGTTTTGGCTTTGAAATTTACCAAGGGCATAGAACACACCCTAAAGCTATACAGGCATACATATGCTAGGCAGAGAGGGGGCATAAATATAGTTCTAGAATTCCACATGTCAGAGATGTGAAAATCATAATCCCAGAGGTATCGGGTGTTACATTTTTAGATTAGTTCCCAAATATTAGACCTAATCAT